ACCCTTTTTCAAACACCATATATAAAGCCACTGTGGGCACCCAATAAACATTTGCTTTGTCACCATCAGGCCAACAGTTCAGTTTTGAAAAGTGAATTTTCCACGGCGAAAGACATTTTACAGCACTGGCCACACCCACACCTGAATTCAGATATTTATATTTGGTTTTAATTCACTGATCCAATATTTGTTCTAAAAACTTTTCCAAAATTTTTCTCCTTGATAACAGTTTTTAATAGAAAAAGAAGTTTCTCCAATCTCCAGCTGCAGAAAGATCATGTAAATAATATTTAGCTAAATTATACCCTGTATTTGCCAAGCATAAAAGAGTTATGCCCAGTAGCCTGAAAAGTTCCCCCAAATTTTTATGGTTTGCTGGTAAACATTTCACATTTCAAAACAGACAAAAAATGAAATTCTGAGAGCCTGCACAGGAAACTATTGCATTCTAAATATTGTACTTTATCTGTTCTGATTTCTGAATTTATGGTAAATCTTCCAGGGTTTTTTTTTCCCCCCCCTCTGGCCAGGCAATTAACCATGATAGAGGAAAATAGCTGTAAGAATTTTAATAAATCATGCAATTTTCTAATAAAACACAAGAGGGCAGGTTTTGCTTTATTGTAAACCTAATTCCATTCCTCTAGTAATCAAGATAACCATTGTGCTAATTGCAAATTCAGAGACACTCAATAACATTCAAAGCGAATGAGTAATCAGGGTGTATAAGTCTGGCAGTGAAACCTCTATTGCTTTAACAAAGAAGGTTAAACTCAAGACTTTCTACTTAGCATTATTTACAACACGGAGAACAATTACACTTGGGAGACACTGTGATAGTTTAAGCTTATGTTATCATCCACCAAAAAAGTACACAATTGCTAAAAGAAGGAAGGACCAAGTTCAGTCACATTACATCCGAGAATCTGACTTGTCTATGTGGCAAATAAGACAAGTGGGTTAATGGTTTCTACCAAATAGATGTCATCTTGGTGAAGATGTACAGAGCATACAGGTCTTGAATATGCGTTATATTTTTGTTTGTTTTGCTTTAGAAAACTTTAACCTATCCTGTAGCTTACAATTTTCTTATGTATTGTTTTCAAGTTTTCACTAAACTACCTGCCAAAGCACAATTAAATTCATAAGGGTAATTTTCAGCCTGAACTGCTGTTGCAGCTAAAGTAAATGTACTGAGACTCTGGAGAGTTTCTAAAGCAACACTGTTTGGGTCCATCAGCATGAGAGAGGCACTGGTTTGCCTGACTAAACACTTTGTCCACTAACTCCTTCCACTGAAACAAGGCTTTTAGAGGATCAGACAGTGGGAGACCCTAAAATGACATGTGTGAGGACTTAGGGGAGAAGGTGGAAATCTTAACTTTCTATCCTAGTCCCTATAAATGGTAGAATTAAAGGCTACCAATATTGGGAAGAAGATGCCTCTAGAAAAAAAATGCAGCTGAAGAGTGTCCCCTTGTATTAGGTTGCATGGAATAAAACTCCATCTAGCATATATACACCTCAAAATCTGAAGGATAGGTTGTTGTTAATTTCATGGCAGGAATACAAGACTCCATTCTTCTATGTTTTATACAGTACATGTTAAAACAGATCCCAGAGGCCCTCAATGAAAAGTTTTACTTTAAGATTAGTTTATTCACTCATTTATTCATTCAGAAAATTTTTGTAGAGTACTCAGAATGAGCGAGGCACTGTAAGAACAGGAAGAGTTCAATCTTGGGTTTTGCCATTCCACTGGGGAAAGTAATTGTCTATCACTGGGGATGAATTGTTTCTTTTATGTACCTATATCAGTTAGCCACGAACACCTTCTGAGTATTTAAGGCAAGGTGCTTTGATATAATGACAGTGAAGCTATACAAAGGAGTGTAAAATCTGGCCTCTAACTTCAAGTCTAGATGTGGAAGTGATTAACACATGAAGCATTACCTCATTGGTTGTAACTACCTTCTTCTGTGGGTCTCCAACAAGTTAACTGACCTTGAAGTCTTCCCTGGAGGATCAACAAGTAGCTGTGGCAGTACCGTCCTCCCTAGTCAGTGACTTGAAGTCACCCCACCACCACCCCGAGATCAGCCATTAGACTGTGGGGATATCAAAAGTAACACTTCACCTGGGGAAAGGCTGGCATCTCCTTTCCTACCTGTACAATAGAGGTCCAGGAAGCAGCAAGTGCCTAGAAACTCACCAGAAAGTAGAACATCGGTTTAAGAACTTATTTTCGAAAGTAAAGTAGTTATTATGTATTATTTATGTGTATATATATATATATATATATATATTTCATTATACATATGTCGAGTGTCCAAAAGACAGAAGCTGATGTACACAAGTTAAAAAACAGTAACTCCCAAAAGACAAACAGTAATATGCAAAACATTTATTTTTATTTTTCTCTTTAATAAGTTTTCTACTTCCTGTTATTGTGAGATTAAAATTGCTCATTAGAAGTATTATAATTAACAGTACCGGCCAGCAGCCAAAAAAAAAAAAAAAGAAGTGTTGTAATTTACAATGTTAAATCCTAAGCAAGATACAAATTAATGTCAAAGAATTTCAGAATTGGAAGGGAATTTAATCCACAAAGGAAAGATACTATTGGAGTTCATTTCACTTCTGAATGTTAGCTTTATAAAAGCATTCCTATTGAAATCATCATTCATATACATACAATTTTTCTAATACGAAGGATAGCAACATATAAAGTGATCTGTTCATTTTCTCCAAGGTTGAATTTTTCCCCCATCATTGAGAAGTATAGCCCCACACTGCTCGCTGACATTTTCTGAGTTTATTTGCATAACATTCAATGTAAGTATATACCAACTTTTTATTCTGCTGGTTTAGATTTGTTAAAAGGCATTCATAATTGATTTATTGTAAGGTTAGAAAGTGCTAGAAAATTTTATTCTTATATGAACTCCAAATTAGGAAATTATTTTTCTTATAAAGACATTATAAAACATATTTATAAAAAGTTGCACACATATAGATAAAAGTAGTTAAGTAGAAGTGATTGCTATTTATTTCTACCTCAGATAGATCTTGCTTTAACCAAATTTTATAAGAACATGATGTATGAAAATTCTGATATACCTGAAAGATAAGCTAGAGGTAGTTATTTACTTTATAGAATTATTCATAATAGTTCATCTATAAAACGTTATTTCCCCTGGTGCTTTTAACATATAATTGATTTATACATAACTTATCAAGAACGTATCTACTGTGCACAATTACATCTTCACTTTAATATATTTCTATTTTGGTTTAAAAAGTAAAACGTGTTCCTCAACTACCATGAGCTCAGAGCATGAACCTTTCAGCGAGGAGCTTGTTAACAATACATTGCTGTATTTTCCATGAATACTGTTAATGGCAGGAACTGAGATCTATGCATGTGGCTGTGGCTAAAAAGCCCAAGAGGGGCTTCATCCCACAAAGGACCCTGGGCCATCTTGATTCGCATCACTGAGCCTACTCTCAGGTACACCTGTGTCTTTATGAGACTCAGACTCATATTCAGTTCCAACTGGGCTTTGGCCATTTCTTTGGCTTTAGCAGTCCTATTCCAAGGGACAACACTGATTACTGGTGAATCTTTCACCCTCTAGGTTCCCCATACATACAAGGCAGCTCCAGGGCCCCCTTTACACCCATTCTTCACCTACTCACTCCAGTTGAGAGGGGTCAAAATGAACCAGCGGAGGGGCCACCCTCTAGAACTTCAGTTTCAGTCCTGATGCACGGATACCAGATATGAGCAGATGAAATTTGCCTTGAAGTTTCAATAACTGTTAACTTCTCAGAAGCAGACCATCATGATAAGTCTGAACATCATAGTAAAGATTGCCTCATTTCTATTTTTCATGATCTGATCACTACTTAGCAGAACATAACCACTGAATTCTGAATTGTCATATTTCTTACAGATAGTTTGCTTTCAAATGATAAGACAGCTGATTGGCATTCATAAGTAACTGCTAGTACAGTGCAGCATTAATTAATCTAAAGTCAACTCTTAAAAATAAACCAAACATTAAATGTGAGTAATTTTTTATTTGAGGCTAGCTAGTAAAGGAATTGGTTCAAGATCAGCCAAATAAGACTCAGAGGACTAGAACTCCAATCAAATTGTCTCTTGTCCAGGATTATAACCTTCCCAGCCTTCTCCAGTCAACCTTCCATGGAAAGAGTGATTCTACACTTGTTAATAGATTTAGAACAGTATAATAACTAAGTAGGAAGCTCTACAATGTTATTCCCTCATCTATTTATTTATCACTGTAAGATCAATCTGTACTCAGCTATTGAATCTTGTAATAGGTCTACTGTTAAGAACTGCAGATTTATAAAAGACAACTAATTTATAAAAGACAACTGAACTGATCTTTCATTCTCTGTCCTATATGGAAAATAAGTCCTATTTTCATCTCCAAAGCGAAGAGGAAAAGACAGAAAAGAAGAAGTCCATGAAGATGGTGGGGAGGGCTCCTAGAAGCACAGATGTTTATAGCTAAACTATTTTGGTGATTCATGTAGCACCCGCCAACCCCCACCTCCATGCCATTACAATGAAGACACTGGGCTAAGAGAAATTGAACCATGGTCTTGTCCAGGTCTCAAATTATACTGACCTGTAAATTTCAATGAATTCACTCAATCCATTTGTGTGTGTGTGTGTGTGTGTGTGTGTGCTTTCAGAACAGGAGGAGGCTTAATCAATATGGGGAATTATTATCAGATACCACACATTGTCAGCTCTACCTTTATTTGATGATAGAGATAGCCTAAGCACTATAGCTTGTGTTTGTTAAACAAACAAGCAAAGCAGAAGCCACATCCAAGCATCTTCTGTATTTAGGATCGTCACCACAATAGGGGGACCTACGCCAAAGATCTCCAGCTAAAGGAGGAACAGTGAGGATTAGTTTGTTTATGTCAAGGTCAGAACTACAGCTTGGCTGGCCTCTTCTCTAGGGTAAGGCAGGAGCACCACAGGCTTCTTCCGTGTATCTCTTGTTGCTTAAACGTGTCTCCATTAGGGGTGTATATCCTTTTCGAAGTCGTCTATATTGAAGAAAAAACAGCAGCACAAAAAGACCAACCAAGGCCACCAGCATTCCCATAACCAGTGAAACTGTGATCCAACCTGGAGTTTCTACAACTGAAATGAAAGCAGAAGAGAAGGGTCTACCATCAGGATTTTCATCAGCTGAATACACTTGGAAAAGGCAATCATAAACTTATTTGCCTTTCACATGCATTTTTGTTGATAAAGCAAAACTACTCTTGCTAGAATAAAATTTATTTTCTCCTTCCTCACCAACTATTCATCACATCCACAATTGTTTATCTTGAGGAAGCGGGATATGGCATTTCTTTATTTAAATATGGCTTATTGCATTTAAAAAAAATTGTTACAATAGATGTTTGTGCTGAATAAAGCCTCCAAGGAAGTACGTAACTCCTTTTGTGAGTCAGAAATTCATTTATTAAAGTGCATGAAAAACGGTATCTGGGGAACTGCAATGTATATAACCCTTGGGTGTAAATATTCTTCTACTGTCTCTACCTTTCTTATAAAGTGATAAATATGTGAGAGATCAGATTGGCCATTATAACAGGAGAAGAAGCAGAAGCAGATGACATTTGTACCCATTTAAACAGTTGTGAATAAAATCTGAATCTTCCACATAATAAATTCAATCCTTTACTCAAATATATTTTATAAGCAGTTTTCCACAAAAGTAATGGACTTCATGTTTAGTATATTTATGCCCATTTGTCATTTCTTTAAAACTTATCTTTTCCTTGGCCAGCTGTTCTTAACTTCAGTTCCTCTGAATTGGGTTCTTGTTCTATACCCCATACTCATCTAAGTATTAAATTGTCTTTCTAGTTCTTTTCCTCCAGTTTCACAGAGGGGCCCTGGCTCATCTGATGGGATTCCTCCAGGAGGATTTTGTCTCCTTGGGCTACAATCTAGCAGCACCTATTACTAGTCTCATCTTCCGAAACACAGATTTCTATTCTGTGATTTGCTTGTTTAGGAACCAAAAATAATTACTTTTGTTATTGTCCAAATACTCTGCTTAGTTTTGGGTTTTTAAAAATTATTTATTTTTTAAGACTGTGCTAACATATATGTAACATAAATGTTACCATCTTGTCCATTTTTAAATGTGCAGTTCTGTGTCATTAAGTACCTTCACATTGTCCTGCAATCATCCCCGGCATCCATCCACAGAACTTTTTTCATCTTGCAAAACTAAAATTCATCAAAGAATATCTCTTCATTCTCCTCCCCCATCCCCTAAAAAACATCATTTTCTGTCTCTATGAATTTGACTACCTCATGTAAGTGGATTCTTGCAGTGTTTGTTCTTTCATGTCTGCCTTAATATCACTTAGCTTAATATCCTCAAGGTTCATCTTTGTTGTAGCATGTATCAGAATTTCCTTCCTTTCTAAGGCTGAATAATATTCCACTGTATGTATGTATATATTACATTTGGTTTATCCATTCATCCATTGATGGACACTTGGGTTGCTTCCACGTTTTGGCTGTTGTGAATAATGCTGCTATAAACATGGGTGTGCAAATATCTCTTTGAGACCCTGCTTTCAATTCTTTAGGGTATATACCCAGAAGTATAATTGTTGGGTCATATGGTAATTCTATGTTTAATTTTTTGAGAAACCCCCATACTGTTTTCCATAGTGGCTGCACCATTTTACATTCCCGCGAGCTATGCACAAGGGTTCCAATTCCTCCACATCCTCACCAGCACTTGTTATTTTCTGATTTTCTGATAGTAGACATCCTAATGAGTGTGAGATGGTATCTCATTGGGGTTTTTGCCTAGTTTTGGTTTTTTTTTTTTTTTTTTTTTTTTTAAAGATGACCGGTAAGGGGATCTTAACCCTTGACTTGGTGTAGTCAGCACCACGCTCTCCCAAGTGAGCTGACCAGCCATTCCTATATAGGGATCCGAACCTGTGGCCTTGGTGCTATCAGCACCACACTCTCCCAAGTGAGCCACGGGCCAGCTTTGGTCTTTGCCTAGTTTTTAAGGCCCTCCATAATCAGGCCCTCTCACAGATGTGACCTTAATTTATGGTATTCCTCCATCCAAGCCTTCCACTACAACCAGGCTCTCCTCTCACAGGCCTCTACATAGACCACATGTGCCTTTCACTGATCTGTTTCCCCCTTCCTAAATCTAAAATGCTCCCCCACCTACCTAACATCTGCCAATCTCCTCCCATCTAATTCAAGACTCACCTCCTTCAAGAAGCCTTTCCCAAATCCCTCACTTCCTCTCCAAACTTTGATGTGAAGGGGATCAGAATGTGCCTCCCTAAAACAGGATTATTTTGAGCTGAAGGCATGTGAGATTCAGCAAATGCAGAAAGAAGCCTTCCCAGAGCTTACCTCATCTGACTAAAAGCAGAAACTCCTGAGAGATAAGGACAGCCATAAATCTTCTTGACCAGGGAAGTTTTATGGCCATGAAGAAGATCCCATCAGTACTGAGATGGAGCCGCCCACACACAAACCACACACAAACCTTGCTAAGATAGCTCTTATACTCCATTAGTTTCCCCATATATTTACCTTCCCACAGTCTGCCACCTTTGAAAGCTGCAGTGAAAGCTTTGAAAGCTTATGTACCCCAAAACTATTGAAGCTTGAATTGTGTCCCCCAAGTTTTATGCATTAGAAACTTTATCTGCCCTGTGACTGTCAAGAAATCCTATTATGGTCATTGAAAGGAGGGGCCTTGAAGCGGTGATTAGACTGTAGGACCATGCTGCAGTGAACGGATTAAAAATGGTGGTCAGGGGAATGGTTCTGAGGGCTTTAAAAGAAGAGGAGAGTCTCTCTCTCTGCTCTCTCTGCTTCCACCATCTTGCAATGTGAGACCCCTGGGTTGCTACTGTCACCACCAGATGGACTTTGGTCTTCCCAGCCTCAGAAACTGTAAGCAAAAAATTTTGTTTTCTTTATAAATCATCCAGTTTCAAGTATTTTGTTATAAGCACCAGAAATGAACTAATACAAAAGCCCAGACCACTTTTCCTTTGTCTCATCACATCTACAAAATTTCTTTTTCTTTGTTGGAATGGTATATAAGCTGTCAGGCCTATTTGTTTCTTTGGGTCTTCACTTCTTTTCTAGGAAGGCCCCCATGTCACATAAAAATTAACATCAAACAAAACTTGTATGCGTTTTCTCCTGTTAATTTTTCTTTTGTCAATGTACTTTGAAGGCTAGTCAATGAACTTAAAAGTTTACAGGGAAGACGATTTTTCCTCCTCTACTGTTTATAGTTATAGCTCCCCAGATAGGATTGTAGATTTCATTGTCAAACCAATAAATGAACACGATCTTCTGATGAGTTAACTTGTTCTGGGTATAATTGGGACTCAGCCTATGCCTGTTACTTGATTGTTATCAGAGGAGATGGAAGCAGGATGCACATTCTAAACCTTTTCATTATTATATTTGATCCCAGAGAAAAGAGAAAGAAGTTGAAAAGAGATATCCTTAGCTGCCCAAAGAAAGGACACTTCAAATCAGTAAGGAGAACAAGAAGTAATAGATGCAGAGCTAGAAGGAAAAACAAGAGACAGATTCCAGGGCCTGAAAGACTCTGAGATCAGAGGGTGATCAATTGAGCTCAGAATTCATTTTGATTCCTTTGTAGGCTGAGATTTAGGGAAGAGGAAATAAGCACAAATGGGGAAAATTCACAGCAGATAGGCTGTGTGTTTTTCAGCTTCTTGACAAATTAAGGAGTTTTTTATTGTTTCACTTTTCCTTTCTCAACCTGCCCTAAGATTCTTTAAATGGCATGTGGAGCCATATTGGGGCCTTAGGAAAAAAGAAAAATGTGTGCCTTATATATGCTTGTCAGGACACCTTCCCATACTTCAAACAAGTGAGAAAAGTTAGAGATCTACAACTTAAAAATATGACTTTAATAGATAATTTAGAAAAATATACACATAAAGCCCCATGTAGCCCAATCTGTTCTCAGGCCAATGTCAACCCTCATAAACCTACCCAGCAGGGGAGGTATAGGCTCACTGGAAATGACTGATCAAGTTACAAAATAATGCAGGGATGTAATGCAAACAAACAAACAGACAGCAGTCTGTATTTAAAACCTTGATGAGGTCTTATTCATCATGACTTTTTGCATTAATTTTGATATTTAAAATATTGCCTTATATTATTACTTATCTTGATTACTGAGTTTGGGGTCTCCCCTTGAATTCTGTGTTCACAGCAAATGCCAAACTTGCCTCACCCTAATTCCAGCCCTGCCTTCAAGTACTGATCTCTGAGTCCTGCCAGTGTTGTACCAAGCAGGACTGAAGCCATGTTGAGAGCTAAAACCACATAGACTCTAAAAGATTTTTTTCTTGGCATGCATGTCTGAGTTCCCTCTTTTCCCATGGTTATTTGATATTTTGAACCTTGGTTATGGGGAAGATGACATTATTTACATGAATATATACAGCATTGTTTTCCAGACAGCCTGGAGCTGCAGACTTGCACATATGATCTAGACCCTGGGAAACCAAGGAAGACGTCAGTAAAGCTGTGCTGATTCCACCCATTCCAGCAGGACCCTGAGACAACAGCAGTGATGAGAACAGAAGCCAGACCAAGCCTTGGAGAGACGTGTCAGCTGGCTCCTTGCACAGAGCCCTCATGCTCACATCTCTCTCCCTCCTGCTTTTCATTTCCCACCTTGTATTCCCTCAGCCTTCTCTTAAAAACCCCTCAGTAAATCTGAGTCTTGGAGATGGCTTTAGTCTGGTCATTCTCCTTCAGGTTTACTGGAGAGATGGGTTAGCCTAACATCTCTCCTCGGGTCACTGGTATTCCTGAATAAAAGCTGACTTCCATTTTCACCGTTTGACTTTGGATTCTTTGATTTTATTTGGGGGCAGGCAGACAGACCTGGGTTCAGTAACAGGATTTGGGGGAGCCTCAGCAAGAAGCTGAGTGTCCCCTGTATCACTAGTCCCTGTCCACATGTAGCTAGCTCATTTTTACTTTATTGGTTAGACACGTCAAACAACCATGAAGCAGTTTTTGATTAATTCCATTAATCCAGATAGATTCTCAGATAAGGTGTAGGAGTAGATAGTTCTTCTCTGAAACGAGGTCTCTTAATAACTCAGTTTTTCTAAAACAACAGTCAGCTAACTAGTCCCTTTCTGATGTTTAATTGGTAGTTTAAAGGCTCATTTTGCTAAATACATATATTTTAGAAAATGGCCAATAAACTTAAGTAGACCTGAATGCTTCAATTAAAGGACTTGGTTTACATTAAAAAGAAAGAAAGAAAGAAAGTTCCTTCAGAAGATGAATGAGTCACCCGTTTAGAGGTGTGTTGGTTACCTGGCAGATCTATGGCATAGCTGTAGCCAAGTTGGTCTGCAGTTAAAAAGAGTTCCTCATTAGTCACCGGAGGGAAAAAAGGAACCATGTTATACATCCGATTGTGACCAATGGGTGCCAGCTCCTGAGGCCAGGCATCTGCAGGAGGATTAAATCTTTTCATCCACTCATCGAAGATCGCATCAGTAAAGGAATGAAGGACCTGCAAGACAGTTGAACATGACATTTAATGTTGATTGGACTGTTCCAATCGGACCAGTCTGAGTTGAGCTTTCTCTACAATAAAATGGAGTTTCATTTGACATGAGGATCTTCTGAATACCCAATCTAGCCTTAATGACATACACACTGGCATTTACAGTTAAGTTTTCAAGGATGCATGGACATATCTCTCCAAACAGGATTATAAACCCCTTTGTCAAGTGAACAATGAAAATTCATGTTGCAGATTGGTTTGAAAACATTTGAGGCTTTCAACATGTGTGTTTAATTATTAATTTCAGAAAAAAGGCAAGTCTGTTAAGATATATATTCTAGTCAATATTCAGATGCTTTGGTTTAATGGAAGAGACAAAAGAAGTTGCATTTACCAGTATTGTAATAGAAACAGACAGTTAAAAAAAAAAAAAATCTCCAAAATGGGTGTTCACATTTTTCTCACCATGAATATTCTCCTATCTACCTATTTTATAACCCACTCATTTGAATTCCTGGTGTTATGCCAGCAAAATAGTCTAAAAACGTTATCTGCATAGCGCTCATTTTTATTTTCTCAAGGAAGCTGTTAAAGTCCTTTTCGAATACAGCAATTATTACATGTTTTAAAATATTAACAGCAAAATTTCCATATTTAAAGCTCTGATTTTGCAACAGGATATAAATGTGAGAGTTCAGCCAACCTTTATGTCTGGCAGTTAGAGTTCCCCTTTCATTCCTAGACTACAAGCTCAAGGAGCTCAGAAACAGTCTGCTTTTCTTTTTCCCTGGATCCCCAAGACCAGTCAGGTGAACCCTTATCAAAGGCACCCAGGGCCTGTCACATAGAGGCAGGGAAGTACTTATCCCAATAACTACATGCTCAATGCATCCATTCATCCTTCCACCACTATAGCCTGTACCTCATTAATAGCACGGATCAAATTATACTATAACTTGTTATTTATACATCTATTTCCACTAACAAGACCCCTAACTCCTTAAAGTCAGAAATAAGGTCCTTTCAGCTTTAAAATCTCAGGGTTAGCATGCAACCTGGACAAATCAACGCTTCATAAATACCTGTTGGCTCATGATGGGGTGTCATGCAAAGTATTAAAAAAAATTATTTCCTAATAAAACAGTAGAATAACCCTTCGGACTTTTTTTGTGCAATTTGGCCTAACAGACCCCTCTCAATCTGGGGCTATTCCTGTGTGCAATGCCATTCCTCCTCTATTTCCTGGCATCAGTCTTTCCAGGACTCTGTCCTTGTGGTCCCTGTCCTGTGACATTGTCCCTTATGGTCCTCGGTCTTTGTTCTTTGCACTTCTCAGCTCCTTTAACTGTATCGCCCTTCTGGCTTGTATTATTCTTGTTTATTTTAGTAGATAATATTTTAAAGTCTTGGGTTGGCTGGTTAGCTCATTTGGTTAGAGTGTGGTGCTGTTAACACCAAGGTCATGGGTTTGGATCCCTATACCAGCCAGCCACAAAAACAAAACAAAATAAAAAACATTTTCAAGTCTTGCCCGAGTTTCCTCCTCCCACCCCCTCTACTTGTATTTAGTTGTTTCTATTCCAGGCAACAGTGAGAGCTTTCTTCTTGTATTTTTCCATAAGGCTACATTCAGGATAGAAAAAGGAATCAAGTGATTTAGGGAAGGGATTATTTTCCTGAATGGATTTTTAAAGTTTGTAGCAGAGATAAAATTCTTAAAAACCAAAACATCAAATTATAAGACCTGGACTTTTGGAGAAATAAAAGCTTTTTTGAATTCTACATTCTTAGCCTTGGGTAACAAAAATTAAGCCCAATGGGAGAAAGGCATGGAGTTTGTCACATAAGCAACAGCTTTAGAAGAACACATGATAATGTAAGTGATCAATGTGTCCTAAGAGTTCAGAGAAAGGTCATCTTTGAGGAAGGGAGTCAGTCCTGGAAAAGGAGCCAAGCATTAGTTATTGGTGTAGGTCCCTGCAAAAGGTACCTCATGCCCTGAACCCTGGGACTTTCAGGTAGGACTGGAAGGTTTCCAGATAGGAGAGTTGTGCTTCACTCTCCAGGTGCAACCTGGGGAGGCTGCAGACCTCAGAGAGAAGTGTCGCCTCAAACATGGACCCCAAACAGTAGAGGTGGAATGTCTAAGGGTGACCAGCACTATTGGCTGCTTACCTGATATCCATTCTCTCATTTTTCCTCAGTAACTTCTTTTGCATTTCGAGTGAAGCAATGTGCCAAGCTATTCAGGAGATTAAGCTGGAAGTCATTGGATGGGACTTCCAAGAAATCTTTATAAAGATGGTTGTCTCAGCTGAAAAGTGTCCCTTTTTACCTTTTCCTTTCTCCCTGATGGTTTCTGCAACATAGATATGATGTTGCCAACATAGATGATTGGCACTGCAGCAGCCATCTTAAAGCCAACCAGCAAACTTATGAAAGGAAGCCACTCACCAACCATGGCAGAGCAAAAAGACAGAAGATGTTCATGATGACTATGGAGACACTATACCAGCCCTGGACTGCCTGCCACTGGAGCTCTTCTACATAGAGAAACATAAATCCCTTTTCTGTTTAGGCTTCCATTATTTGAATTTTCTATTCTAAGCTGCTGAACAAAATGCTGAACCAAAACTAAGTGATTCACAAAAAAAGTGTCTAGGGGTACACAAGAATGTATTTTCCAAAGAAGGCCATACAATGTTTCTTAACTTACATGCTCTTCTAGAATCTTTCCACTCTCTCATCAAGGGTTGGGGTTCAACTGGCCCTCCCCCTCGAAACTCAGTGAGTTTCTGATTCTCTTGTCACCAATAAAATGCAGAAGTGACACTATGTAACTGTTGAGGCTAGATCACAAAATGCATCACAGCTCTTTTCTTATGCCTGAGCAAGGAGCCATCACATAAGCAGTCCAACCATCCTGAGGCAGCCATGCTGTGAGGAAGCCCAAGCCAACTCACACAGACAGATCCCATGGAGAAGCCCTGAGGTTTCAGGAAGAGAGAGAGATGTATGGCCAGCCCATAGCTGCTCCAACACCTGCCACCATCCAACTGCACCTGCATTGAAAGACCCTGAGCCAGAACTATCCAACCAAGCCCTTCCTAAATTTTTGACCCATAGAAATTAAGAGAAATAAAATGATTATTGTTGTTTCGAGCCACTAAGCATTGAGGTGATCTGTTATACAGCAGAGCATAACCAGAACAGAGGGGAAAGGCCTGAGTACAGCTTTACAGGCTCATGCTTGCCCCAGAATGAACAGGGAAAACAGTTCCTTGGTCCCCAAAGAGAGGGCAGAGGTGCTGGGAGTGGGGTGGTGATGAGTCTTGAGATGAGGACAGAGCCCATGGGCCTGATGACCAGGGATCACAGAGGACTGCAAATATCAGCAGTGGCCACCAGTACATGGCAGTTGGGAAGAGAGAGAAGATAATGTATATAAAGCACCTAGCAAGTACCTCTTCTGTAGGAAATGTTTTAATTAAATTGTTGTAACTACTATGACTATATCATCAGCGCTATTATTATTTTAACTTGAGACAGGGACTTATAAAAGAAGAATGAAGGAATTTGCGTTTTGCAGGTATTTGGAGCTTACTAATACCTCTGAAATCGTATGCTGTATACACATAGCCAGTGTGCAGCTAGGCATGCATGGCACATAACTAGCACTTAATAAATGGATTAATATTAATTAATATTAATTAGTGCTTGCTGTATGTCAATCATTACTCTAAGCACGTTACTCATAATGACATATTGAATCCTCAAAACAACCTGGCAATTGGTGGCACTCCTTAGCTTGTAGATCTCTGCCCTCATCTTCGATAGTGTTCTTCCTGTGTGTGGGTGTCTATATCCAAATTTCCCCTTTTTATAAGGACACCACTCATATTGGAGTAGGGACCTACCTTACTCCAGTATGTTCTCATCTTAACTAATTACATCTGCAACCACTCTATTTCCAGACAAGGTAACACTCTGAGGTATCAGAGATTAGGACTTCAACATATGTATTTGGAGAGGTGGGTGGGACACAATTCAACCCATAACATTATTATCCTATTTTGTAGATGAGGAAGGTAAGGCAGAGAAGCATTAAGTGACTTGCCCAAGATCACACAGCTAGAATATGGTGGAGCAAGAATCTGAACCCCGGAAGTCCGGTTCTAAAGTCAGAGTTCTTAATTCACATACTCTACTTGCTCTACACCACCATAGTGCAGTACAATTATTAATACAATCCTCAGGGCCCAGGGAATTTGACTTTAAGCCATATCCTCCTATCTTAACAATGGGGGAGAGGAATAGTTTGACCTATGAGTCCTAAACCAATCATAAACTTTGAGATACTCTCTGAGCTCAAGTCGGAGATAAAACTGTGAATAGAAAAAAAGACAAGAGACTCTCAGGACATAAGGATAATGCACATTCAGTGCTGCAAGAGGCAAATAACTTTCGGAAAGTACCAGAATTTCACCCAGCATGAAGCGTAAGTAGTTAAGGAGGGGACTAGACTCTAAAGCAATTCATAATCTGGAGAGATAAAAGAATAGGAGAAAATAATTAGTAGAAATTACAGGTCTCAGAAGGCTGTAAAACATTATTCAATAAATGCTCGAGTAGGAACTATATACGGAGTACCCAATTTATAGAATGTAATAAAAAAGCCTGGTATATGCTGAGAAGATGCAAAGAATACATTAACAATATTCTGCAAGCAATAGTGTATCCACAGGCTAGAGAGAGAAGTAGTGCAACTATAGAATAGGTATTTTTATTAAAGTTGTGGACATTGTTACGCAACAAGATACCTTAAATTGTTCATGAGAAACTAATTGTATCTTTGTTAGACACAAGCTGAAAATAAGCTCAGTTAATACCTCTATAAAGGTCAAATTTCACTTGAGGGTAAGAAATAAAAGCAAAAGTTAAGTAAAAGTATATTGCTGTGGCCTTTTATTGAGATACATAGCTATAGAGGTACATAGCTATATTTT